GTAAATAAAATTAGAGACTTACAGGTGTGTTCAGCTAGGAGTTTCACTTAAAACTGGAAAACCAGGGTAACGGCATGTATTGGGGAGTTTCCTGATTTGTTTGGGTAATGAGGAAAAATCTAGAAAATTACAGTATCTAAAATTTGAAGATATGGATGGATACAAGGGAAAAAATACTATATCTATGAAATATTAAATTATAAATGTATACAGATAAAATAGAACTAAGAGATCTGGGTACCCTTCCGTTGTTTCTTTATTTTTAAAAAGAACCTTGATTTCTTTTAACTTTTTTCCGTATTTCTCCCTATCCCCAAGCAGTCAATTTTTTCTGTTTCCTCTCTCATTTGTTTTACATATCCTCTTACGCTCTACTATTCACGGATTCTGTCAAAGGTTTTCTTGTTTAGTCTCACTTGGTCCATTCTTATCATGTGCCATAGTCTAGTAGAACCTTAGTCTTCTGATTCTTATTTCGGTTTCTAGATTTTTTTTCTCCCTGTAGATTTCCTGGTTGGATCTTAACCTGTAGCCTTCCTGTGGCTTTTTGGGTCCATAGATTCTCCTCAGAATCCCTCTCTCTGTTTTCAGTATTTTTTTAGCCTAGGGAAAGATGTTGTCTCCACTCCGTACAGAATTACTGGTTTTATCACCGTTTTTTTTATATAAATTATGAATTTATTATAAATATAAATCAATTTATTTATTCATGACAAGTGAATTAAGATACATAATTAATTATGAAGTATATTTATTATTATTTATACTAGTACTAAGAGTAATTTAATGTTCTTCGTATAGCCCTAAATAGATACATAAAACAGTTGAGATTTCATTGGCCGCGTTGAGATACCATCAATCTCAATTCTCAGCTCGTAGACCACATGTGCTAGGTCCCACTTATCTATGACGCACTAAATGTATATTTGATTATAGGGTTGTATGCTTATCACATGTTTCAAAGTATAGTAATAGAAATTTCGAATCATTCAACAACAAGGTAAAATATATTACGATACATTGACGATTTATTTAGAAATAGTTTTCGAGATTGGTTGTAGGATCCCATTATTTTGAAACAGTCAGTCTATCGTGTATAATCCGTGCCTTGGTTCAGACATCTTTTTATCAAATTATTAACATTCACCTAAAACATTGTAAACATAACTAAAACTCATCGTAATCTATACCTTTTATATTTACGAAAATTCTCGGAAATGGGGTGTTTTCAAACTGAAGATTGCGAAACATTGTCTATTTAATTACGTACAAAAAGCTCATGAACACCCATTTGCTTTCCGCTTGAATTGTAAGACAACTTCATCACAAAATCAAGAAAACAGGAAGTATACAAAAATATTGAACCGTTTGGCATGAATTTCACCCCAAAATGTCAAAATAACGAGGTTATAATTATAACTAATTTATTAAGTTACAATTTTTTTTTTTGTATGGAATGACTACAGGAAATAAATTGAACTGCTTCCCAAACAATTTAGTTGGATTCCATCAGAAAAAAAACGACAACTGAAAAAAAGAAAAGTATTACTTTTCCTTCTGTTAAATTAAAAATAACCCATAAAATAAAATAAAATTTATTGAAAATCGAAACAAAAAAAAAAAAAAAAAATTGGCCCTTATTCATTCCAAATTTTAGACGTAATGGGTAAAATAAATTATCGCATTTAATTTTGAAACAAAATTCCAATAAATCTAAATCTAAAGGAAAATTAAATAATTTAATTTGGTGAATTTTTTCATTTATTTATCTTTAAGAGTTCATTAATTATCAGACACACCCAAATAAAGATAATATAACTCTTTAAAAGCGGACATTACGTGACTGGTCAGCATAAATCAATTTATCTACTTTTCTTTCAATGGTATTTATTAAAAGAGGTATATATCTAAAAAAAAAATACAAATTTTACGAACACAAAGTAACTTTTTATCCATTTTGAATAAGCTAATAATCTTTTTGGTTTATTTGTTCATATAATTTTTACTTTGTTAAATTTAAACCTAATATTCACTATAAATTGCAAATCATAATTATAGAAATTCATAATTTCGTATATATCGTAAAACTTACACAAAATAAAAAATAAAAATATAACTGTCTTATTGATAAAAGAAAGAAAAGATTTGAATTTTTTAAGTGAAAAATAATAATAATAAAATAATGAAAAATATGTAATATTTTTTTTTTCATTTTTTAAAGCATTGAAATCTTGAGGAGAAAAAATTCTTTACAGGTTTGTTTAAATTAAGAAACTTTTTATTTCATTGTACAATTTTTTGCCATCTATACATTGTTAGCCTACTGTTACAATGATATTTTTTAAAATTAATGAAATATGGAAAAATTAAAAAAATGTTTTATTGATAAATTACATAATATATTTAATTGTTTGTATTGAATTGTATACTGTTTCACGTTGGAGTCATTGAATGATTTTCTTCATGGAATTCATCTGCGAATTCCATGTTATTGACCGCATAATGGAGGTAACTTCAGGTCAAGTGTATTTTTGCTAAAATTAGAAGTAGTTGTAGAACAACAAGTGACTAGTTTGGTAGTATTTTTAAACGAATTTTATTTCAGAGGTAATATAACAAAATAACATAAACAAAATAAAAATAAAAAACTAACAAAGTAATTTTTTTATATACAATTTCCGTATTGGAATAAAAATTTCGATATTCCAGTGAACACTCAGAGATGTATTTCTGTAGTCGGTTAAATTTTGTATACATATAAAATAATATAATATAAGGACAGTAAAAAAAAATTACATCAACAAAATCCCTTCAACATGTCAGTAATAAATCCATTAAATTTAAATTAAAAAAGAAGCAAATAAAAACACCCTTAAAAATATTTTAAATGAAAAGATGAACAATTATTCATGTAATCAAATTTATTTAAAAAAAAAGATAACTTTCACCAGTTGATAAAAACAGAGAAAAAATGATTAATTCATGCACCTGAAGATAAAACTTACTTTGAAGTATGTATTTCTTTTTCGCATGATTAAGCGCAAATTAATTTAAACTTATGAATTTTTTTTACTGATTTTGAACATTTCTTGGTTGTTTTCTAGAACATAATCATAAATTCTGAAAAAATATTTTATTCAATTTGAAAAATGAAATATAAAATAATATTTTAAAAAATGAATAAAATAATTGACCATAAAACAAGAGTTTATGAGAGTTTCTCGTTGTGCAACATGTTTTGTCTTTATATTATAATATACAAATTTTACCAATCTTATCAAAATTTTATTTTTATTTATTGAATAATAATATAATCCGTCCTAGTGAAATGCAATAACTATTAGGACTACAAGTGTTGGTTCATATAATATATTTTAAAAAATAGAAATAAAGATATATAATTAAAAATAAATATTTTTTTTTTTATTTATTCATGTTACTTACAACTGTATTAGAATATAAATACATCAAGTAAATGTCTACACAGGGATATAATCACATGAAAACGCTTGTTGAGAAACTACCTACTGGTAGCATTCTAATAATATGTCTACATAAGGAGATCACGAGGTCATCTTCTTTTCAGATGCCTCGAAGAATTATCAGGGATCGAAGAGGAAGCAAGGCTAGAAACGAGAGGATTCGGATGGTTATGAAGTTTATTATGGAAGGATAGGTATCTGGGTAGGGCCAAATCGGAAACATACGGAATATTAAGGTCTTTATGGATTATTTTATTTGTGACAAAGTTGGGAGCATTGAGGATTGTACGAAGGTTTTTTTTTATTGTAAGAATTGGATACGAGAGGAATTCGATGGTTTAGTGGAGCCCCAAAGCTCAATTCCGTAAGTCCAAATAGGTCTTATTATTGCCATATATATGATTCGTTTGTAATTGATTGAAAGCTTAGAGCGTTTTTCTAGTAAGTGCTGCAATAGTCGAAAACGCCGGGGGGTTTCTAATCGTAAGGATGGATATGAGAGGAATTCGATGGTATAGTTGGAAAAGAATGGTATAATTGAAAAGGAATTCGATGGTTAATTGGTAGAGTCCAATAACTCAACTCCGTAAGTCTAAGTAGGTCTTACTATAGTCATGTACTGGTATATGAGTCTTTTATTATTAATGGAAGTTTAGAGCGTTTGTCTAGTAAGTGTTGGAATAAGTGGAAATAAAATAAATTCCAATAATATTGATGAATAAATGGTATTAACATGAATGAAAAATAAAATAAATCTTCTTAAACACATTATTGTCCGTGGAACAGACCCTTTTTTATGGAATTATTAACATCCTCCTCAAACTTCGTAAATAGTTTCGTCTCATCGTAACCTAAAACTATTTTATTTACAAAAACTCTTAAAATTGGGGCGGTTTTAATCTGGAGGGTCAAAATTAGTCATTTAATTAGGTACTAAATCCATTTCCTTTCTACTTGGATCGTAACATAATTCGATCACAAAATCGATAAAAAAGGTGGCCTACAAAAATATTGAGCTGTTTGTCCTATATAACCTCGTTATTTTGAAATTTTGGGAGTGCGGTTCACGCCAAACGGCTCAATATTTTTGAAGGCAACTTTTTTTTAATCGATTTTGTGATCAAATTATCTTATGATCCAAGTAGGAAGCAAATGTGTATTTACTACTTTTTATTATCTAATTAAATATAAAAAGTTTTTCCCCTCTGCAGATTGAAAACGCCCCAATTTCAAGGGTTTTCGTAAATATAATAGTTGTAGGTAATGATGAGATGAAACTATTTACGAAGTTTCAGGCGGATGTTAATAATTCGATAACAAGGGGTCTGTACCACGGACTATTAATATCTTTTTACAACACTTTCATTCGCCTCGAATCCATCTGTGTCCTCAACAGCATAACTTTATTAATGCGTTTATATAAATAAAGTTATCTTCTTGTTTTATGGCGTTATTCATATGGTTAATCTATGCTTGTTTTGAGAGCAGTGCGAGATATAATTAGAAGATTGATAGGATATGGGTCGGGACACGAAGCGCGACTCTGCCCTAGACAGCTCGGGGAACTTGCTACTTGTTGCTGCCCCCGTAACAGGATCAAGAAGCGGCAAAAGTTACCAACTCCTGCCTGAGCTTATCTTATCGATAGCCTGCTGGCTATTACGCATTAATGCCGACCCCGTGGCTAGCAGTGCTTGTTTGGCTTCTTTAATTCGACCACGATTCTTCAAGGACGTTCCAACATTTTATTTCACATTCTGGTTAAAAAATATAAATATGATTATCTATGTAGAAACTAAAATAATTCCATTTTTTAAAAATATTATTCATAAACTAAGCCGTTTGATCCCAAAGTAGGATTCCCTAATCATCATTGACAAATTTTCAGGGAACTCGAAAAACTATATTATCTATACCTTATGAAATATAAAACCAATATTTCGAAAATAGATAAATACTTTAATAGTAATTAATCATCCGCAAATGTCAGATACTTAATTTTACGATTTCCCTCAACACAAATACCACTATCTAAATCCTCTTCCAAATCATTTATATATAACGAAAATAAAATCGGACTAAGCAAGCAACCTTGTCTTACACCCGATTCCATACTAAATGGTTTCGTTAAACCATCCAAACCCCAAACTGAAGAATTATTATCGCTAAGCAAACTTTTAATTGAATTAATTAATTTAGATGAAAATCCTAGCTGATATAATTTATAAATTAGACTATAATGATCCACACTACTGTAGAAAATCTACAAAAAATGCATACACTTTTTCCCTTTTCTTTTGTTATTTTACTTTAATTAGACTCGTTAATGTGAATATGTTATTGATTGTTGAATATTTTTCTCTTAAACCAGCCTGAGCTTCTTTAATTATAGTGGTTTCAATCAATCCAGTCCAGACATCTAGCCAAAATCAAGCCCGTATATAACTTGGCAATTGCATTAATGAAGGAGATTCCCCTGTAATTAGAAGCCAAATTTGTATCCCCTTTTTTATATAATGGGAAAATAATGGATTTCTTAAATATTAAAGGGGCATACCCCATTTCAAAAATATTATTCATAAACTGAGCAGTTTGTTCCGAAAGTAGGATTTCCTAATCATCATTGACAAATTTTCAGGAAATTCGAAAAACTATATTTTCTATTCCTTATGAGATGTAAAAACAATATTCCGAAAATCTATGAATATTTTAATAGTAATTAAAAAAACATTTAAACTTGCACTTACCCTTCCAGGCCGGGGCGTTGTTACTAACGCCGCAAGATATAAGTCTTCCCCTCAAAAAATAAATAAATCATAGCTGGCAATCTAAGTAGAGTGAGATTCCTTCAAGCAAATTAAAAGATATGAAAAGAGGTTGTCTTAATCAGACTGAGAATAGGCCACACCAATCTTACCCATTCTCATCTCATTAGCAAACAGCCACCACCACAATGCCAACACTGCAATAATACACTTACAGTAAGCCACATTTTATAGGAATGTTCTTTTCACGTATCAGGTCTAAATAGTTCAGGACTTACACCTCCAATAGCAAACATTTTGAGGGATGACGAAGACACAATAAAGTTATTATAAGGTTTCTCGAAATCGAACGATTTCATATTATAAATTATTATAATAATGGTAAAAAAAAAATCAATTTATTTTTATTAAAAAAAAGGATGCTTTTTTTTTTTAAATAATCAAGAAATGTGTCATTCATTGAAAAAAAGACAGGTTTTGGAAATTAATATATTTCGGTGGCACTTTTTAAAAAATATTTTTATTCGCATTTAAAAAAAAAAATGTACTATTGGAATCATTGGGTGTTTTTCTTTACATGGAAATCGATACTTATCTCGATATTTGCAATATTTCCAAAAAAATAGGAAAGTTCACTTCTGAAATAAGCGACTCAATTATATTTAATTTTAAAATATAAATGAATTTATTTTTTCAGAATCATATTGCGTATTTTTTATGCGCATTTTGCGTAACGCTAAAAGTGTATTTTTGAAGGTACCAGATTACTAGTTTCTCAAGCAGGAGCGAAATAAAGGGTGTCTAAACCTAGTTCCACTTTTTAGGCGAAAAAGGGGATTTACTTTTAATGTAGTTGTTTTCTTCAATCAGACGAGATAACGTTATTGTTTCGATTGAAAAATTGTCGTTTTTTAAATTTTATTTATTTAGGGTGCCTCGAACATAAATTTTCCACTGGCACCAAATGATATATAGATCATAGTCCTCAGATCAAGATTTATTCCTAAGCTATGAACATTTTCAGGCATCAGACATTTTCAATAAAACGAGATAATGTTATTTTTCATTATTTTATTTTAAAAAATAAAAACGATTTTATCTTTTATTTAGCGTATCTAAAGCTACTACAGTAGTACTTATACTGTATATATAAGGGCACTCAATGTTCTTATGTGTGGTATCTTCAAGGAATATATAAGCCCTTATACGTTCAAATTTTTTATTTTACTTCCAATGACTTTTCGAGCTAATAAGCTCATTATCAAGTCATAAAAAAAATTTGTATCTATTAAAATATATTTCTATATTATAATTTTACTAAGCAACTATTTATAGTACACCAAATACCAAAAATAATCATTTTCCTCGTCTCCTTGTTTGCGCATTTATTGATGCTTGCGATTCCCGTACGGTACTACCTTCTCCTTTTATTGCTTAACATTGACTGAAGTAAAATAAAAAAATTGAAAGCATAAGGATTTATATATTCCTTAAAGATAACATATATAATAATATTTTATTTAGTTTTTTAAGGAATCTTAAACAATAATTAACTCTTGATCACTAAAGATCTAGGTACCCAACTGCTCCCTGGTCAAGATTTTTTTGCAAAGCCGTCAATATCTTATCAATGCAGGAGTAAAACATACTGTTTATATATGTTGTTATATGAATTCATTAAGCAGTGGAATTGTTAGATTTTATTATTACGACATATCTACCTACCGGTATATAATGGCAGTTTGTCTCAAATTAAATGTTTGCTTAAGTATGTTTTAAATGCTTTTGTTTAAGTATGTTTGAACACCAAGCTTTGGTTCTTAACATATTTATAGAGATGTTAATGCTAATTGATTTTGACTTAAAGCAATTTAATAACCCTTAACCTTCCATTATTAGCATCCCTAAAAAAATAATAATATAAACAATTTAAACACTTTTTTAATTGCGACTTGTTGGCAAGGTTGGATGGAAATTTAATAAAATGAAAGGTCAATCATGTGAACTAATTAATAAATCCCAATTATTCTCAGAATATTAACGCCGTCACGATTTTCGAGGCAAAACTGTTTGAAATTAAATAATCATCTCTCCAAATCGTTCACGATTGGATGGCCGATCTTTCGTGATTGGCGACTATTCCAATGGAACAAGTTAGTCCAGTTTTCGGATCAGAGGGAGAGAGGGGGAAAAAAGTAAAAGGGAGGAGTGTATAGATTTTTTAGTAGTCGCCATTTTGAACTTAAAAAAAATTCAGTTTTCGTCTCTTCAAAACATCTTTAATTTAAAATTTATTTTATGTTATTGTTGAAAGCACTGCGTAAGATATTTATTTTTGTTTACTCCATTACCGTACTCATGTACTATCCTAGGTATAATATATACCTATATATTTTTTCTATCTATTAATATTTTATAATACGTCCAGAATTACAAAAAATATTACTATACATAAAATATAACCTTTTAGTTGCTCATGTGGTCAAATAAATAAGTCCAGAAACTTCTATATTTTTTCAAAGACCTGAAAATGAACTTCAAAAATTGCTGAATTATTTTTTAAATTTATATTTTAAAACGAAATTATTATTTATTAAACATTATTTTGCATTCCCTATTAGTACCTTTTATTTCAAACTTACAAAAATAATCTGAAATTAACATTGCACTTCATTCATGGTAAATATAAAAGGAATAAACAAAGAAGTAATGATAATTTCGAACTACATCGACACAAACTAAATCAACATCTTATTTCTGAATTGCATAAAAGTTTATCGTGTTCCTTTCACAGATAAATAACTAAAAAAAACCTTCGTTCGTATAAAAATTAAAATTCTGTTACAAGAGTTATAATTATTGCGAACTGTATCTGTAAACACTTGAGAATAGACGAAGACATAGTATAATGTTCTGGAAAATCACTAAACATGCATATCCGTACATAAATTATTTGGATAATTTAACAAGAAATGACATTTATGTAACAATTTGAAGTATACCTGATTTATTAATTGGAGAGTAATCTTTCCATTACATTCTTAAAAAGTTTTAAAATCAATATTGTTTCGTAAATGCAATTATATATTTAATATGTCAAAGAGCTATAACAATTATTGCGAAGAAATTTTGTACAGAACTGTGACTAGACTGAGGTCGAAGTACAATGTATGGTGCAATGTCCATAGTAGTGGGTCTATGTTGAAATTTGTTGGAAATTGGAGCATTATTAAATATTTATGTTCATGCTTGTAGTGCATATACGATGATTCGGTTAATTTAACAAGCAGTAATATTTATTTTATAGTTTGAGCAGTTCCTTATTCCCAAATTTCAGTGTAAATTTTCATTAATTTCGTAAATATTTTAAAAGCCACTATTTGTAGATGCAGTTGAACTTTTGATTTATCAAGTCAAAGATCAAAGATAACCATTACATGAGAACTGCGACTAAATTGAGAGACTAATAAAGTGGATCCCGAAAAGTCATAAAAATAAAAATAAAAATTGGAAGAGTAACTGTTATTTAACATTTTTTCATATACCATTTATGAAAAAAATTATCAAAATATATTTTTAGTAGTATGACGATGATAAGAATAACTCATTTTATTTGAGAAAAAAAAATAAAAAAAAAGAATATTTGATTTGTTTTCAAGCAGAAAATAAAATCTACACTATACAACTTGACGCAATAAGAGATGCTTCTAACAAACTTGGATCCAGGTGTCGATGCTTCATATTACCCAGTGAATCGCACACCTCACACCTGCACGCTGGGATCTGCCAACACACCTGCGCTACATCTTCGGCCTCCCAACTTCCTAAACAACTTCCTCCACAGATTTTCAAGCAACCACATATGTCGACCATATGGAGTATTCACGTGTGGTCTTATGAATGACAATTCTATTCCATCACAGATGCGAGGGAAGACTTTGAAGTCTTTGGGAGTTGTGGCTTTAAATATTGTATTTTAAAATTGTTATAATTACAACAGAAATTTTTTTTTAATATTCTAAAAACGTCCTCCGAAACAATACTAAATAAAAATTCGAAAACAAATAAGAAATTGTATGGTTAGCAGATAGTCTCGGGAGAATTGGATACTTTGAGAAAGTGGTAGAACGCGATGCAGAAATGTAAATTTAGATTCTTTTGACTGAATCGATTCGCAAAGATTCGATCATTGTGGTGAATCGATTCTTCATTTGATTCTTTTTTTCTTAAAATTATAAAAAGGATTTATGGTTATTCATGCAAAACATTCTTTTTTTTTTAACTGATTGAAATTTAAAGTCCTGATTTCGTTGTATACAAATTAAAAGTTAGGGATCCTATGGGTAGGAAGAAAGTTTAAATTGGGAAGGGATTTTTTTTTAAATTTTACATAGTTAATCGAAGATCGACCGATTCCAAGAGAATCACCATGATTCTGTCGTGTGAATCACTTCATACTACGATTTTTTCAGAGGAATCGACTCTTTGTTTCGATTCTCGATCCACCTGCCCATGTCTAGTACAGATCCTTTTTTATTATATTATTGACACCCATCTAAAAATTTGTTGAGTTCATTTTATCGTAATCTAAAACTTTATTATTTACAAAAATTCTTGGAAATGGAACAATTTCAATTTGGAGATTAGTAAACTTCGTATACTTAATCAGATACTTAAAAATCATGAACACCCATTTGCTTTCCCTTTTAAAAGTTCGATAATTTGGCCACGAAATCAAGAAAAAAGGTAGACTAAAAAATATTGGACCATTTGGCATGACTTCCACTCTCAGCAAGCCAAAGTAACAAGGTTGTGTTTATCGGCCAAATGGAACAATATTTTTGTAGGCCTCCTTTTTTTCTCGATTTTGTGATCAAATTATCTTACGAATTTTGCGGAAAGCAATTGGCTATTCTTGAGTTTTTAGTACCTCAATGATTAGAATTGATGAGGGTTTTAGTCTTGATGAAAGTGTTGGTTACGATAAGATGTATCCATTCTCGAGGTTTTAGGTGGATGTTAATAATTTCATACAAGAGGGTCTGTACCAAGGGCTGTAACACTGAACAACTATGAAAAAGTAGATAATTTTAAGGAAAGTAATAATATAATTTAATTTTAATATAATCAGACTATAGAAATACTATTCATCCTAATGGAATGTAATTGTTTGTTTGCTTAAAAATCCTGGTAATTTTTTTTTTTTTTTTTTTTAATAAACTTGGTATAGTAGTCGTTGTGTAGTTGGTGTAGTTTGTTATATTATAACTACTCGTATATATGTGTATCTGTGTGTGTATTCTTAAAAGGACTATGTCTCAGAATAAAGTTGTTTTTTCTATTCTATGATATGTGTTAAGCACTCCATCTCACATGAATATTCTATTCATAAGCTAGAATATTAATAATATTCTTTATTTTTATTTATTCCAGTTAACGTTTATAGGACAGTTCTATCTCATATTAAATTTATTTGATAATTTTTGCTTTAAATTATACTTTGGCGTCAGAGTGTCTGTGAAACAAACTTAAAATTACATATTGTAGTCCCATCTACAAAAAATCTAACATTAATTTTGATTCATGAACATATTTATTATTGTCGATTATTTTTGTACAGTGAATAGTTTATTATGAATTCTTTAATAAACTCTCTGTGTACTTCCCATCTCTTGTATTTTAAACGTTTCTATTCTGTGGTTGGTACGAGATAACTATGTTGTGTAAGACTTTGGCACAAAGATTTGCCTTAGTGGCGGTTTGTGGTTTCTGCTTAACCTCATCCGACCTATTTGCTTAATGAGCCCGCTCAGAAGAAATATCATTTCCTGAAAGCTTGCTAGAGTAGGAAACTACTTTTACATCTCGATGATTTACACTGTTTGAATGTTATTATTCATTATAATATATAAATTATATATAATAAAATTTAAAGGAATAGCGTATGTTTACTTTTACTAACCCATATGTGAAATAGGCAGTAAGGGTAAAGGCAATATTTCTTATTGAAGTCTCCAGAGAAATAACAATATCCAAAAATGGCGTCTGTTTGAAAAAAGGCTGAAAACCAGCTCAAAAAGGACAAGGCTTAGGAAACTGAAATTACATATTTAAGGATCAAAAATGTTAAAATATTTTTACTTCAGTCGGCTAACCGAAAGCAGCACTTTATATGACTGATTTTGTACATTTTAAAGATTTTCTCGCTATTGACTCTAAGACGATTTTGATTAAAATCGATCAGTGTAGAATAAAATGGTTTTTAATTTCATGTAGACTTTATACCCCTATTGAATTAGGCTGACAGAGCTTATAAGCTGATTTTTCAAAAATGCTTCCTCTGAAATATCTTCAACATGGTTTATTAAAATAAATAACACTCTTTCGCCGAAAGTAGTAAAAATAAAGGGTTAAGTATAAAAAAAAAAAAAAAAAAAAAAAAAAAAAAAAAAAAAAAAAAAAAAAAAAAAAAAAAAAAAAAAGGAGACTTATTTTACCACGTTGAAAACAAAGTAATATAAATTTCAAAAATGAACGGCAACTCTTACAATAATTTTTAAGCTTGACTAACCAAAAATAATTAAAGCGGAGTATTCTGGTTGTGGAATCATTCAATAACTTTTATCGTACAATATTTATCGTACAACAATATTTTGTCGTATTTTTTGTGAGGAAAGATATATAACATATGGATCGCTATTGTTGCTGCAGAAGGTCGTATATAACAATTTTATATGTTAATCCTATTTGTGCTAAAGGTGACATTTTGAAGTTTACAACTGTGATAAATAGTCTGCTGCTATTTAAAATAATATAGGGAAATAAAATATGAAATAATTCTAACAAATCATAGAGAAATAATCAGTTTTATGCTCTTTTGTGATCAAAACTCAATTTTTACATATAATTGTTTGCGCTAATACTAGCGACATGGTCGCTATATAATCTTTAATGACTTTTAACAAGATAAAAGATTTAAATAACTAAATTTTACACTTAAGTGTATGCCTCAAAGGTCAATATAATAAAAATAAAAATTAACTTTTGATAATTAGTTATTGTACGTTTCGGCAAATACAATAAAAAGAAGAATAAAAGAAAATTTATTTATAAAAAACATATAGAACAAACATTGAATATAAAAGAAGATTTCAGATTCATACATGATATTTAGTATCAAACCATAAAATAAAATTTATGATCCTAACCCCTCCTCCCTTCTCCTCCTATAACCCTATTTATTGCCATAACTCTTCTAGTTGGAAATGAAACATTGTACCAAGCTTATTCTATCATACTGACTTACCAAATTTTTTTTTTCTTTGAGGGAATAAAATTAAGTAACATATTTTTTAAACAAATTTATGTAAAATAATTTATATTTATTTGACAATTTGTTTTATATTTTACTTAGTAATGACTGGTTTCTAGATTGAATTTCAAATATATTGGTATGTATTTTTTAGATTGCTGAAGGGAGGGTCACAGATACCCCGAAATCTTCAATAAATAATTACTAAAACTTAATTTTGAGTTTTATTATACTGGCCTTTATGGCATACACTTAAGTGTGAATATACATTAAAATATGAAGGTCAAAACCTAAAAACTATAGAGAATTAAATTTTAATTAGATGTATATGGGAAGGAATTTAATTATGCTGGTGAATGAAATACTGAGACACACATATCAATATTTATTTCTAATGAGCGTAATTCTACTCGACATTTTAAAACGCAATTGACTTATTACGGATCGATGGAAGTACACGCAAGTCACGGAATGGTTTTTTTGCACGCACTGGATATTGTAGTTGCATTTTAATAAGGATATAGTTAAACAACCTTGAAGATGAAATAATGCCAACATTAAATATACAGATTATATCCCCGTGCAAAATATATTTTATACAGAAAATCATTAAATTTAATGACTAGTAACATGCATTAATTGTCTAATTAAAACTTTTATGATATACATTAATAAAAGTAGTTAAAATAACAACTTTCGTTTAATTAATATTGCTAGTAAAATTATATATATGGCCATGAATTTGATTGGTGAAATGGCTCGGAAAGTTTTAGTTTTTTTATAGGATATTGATCATTTTTTCACATAGCTGATTTAAAAAAAATTGTTATACCTACATATGTTCATATTTTTGTATCATTGTGCTATTACTTCTATCGCTAGGTTGGTGTAAGCATTCATTCATTTTTATAAGCACTACAGAGTCCATATAGCAGACAAGTCATGAATAAAATATGACCATGTTATCGATGAACTTGTTTTATTTGTGTTTTTTTTTTTTTTTTTTTGACATTTACTCTCTAAATATTAATTGTGTTTTAAGAACAAGCTTGCACAAGGTCTAACATCCTTGTTAGAATTATTGATTAATGTTGCGTATAAAGGCACAATACTTAACCACTAGAATTAAAAATGAATATAAAATATTATATCTCATTATATGTTATATAATATTACTTTTTTATCAATATAATTATATCGTTATCAATACAGCATTACAATCCAAACTTTTTCCAACCAGATGTAAAAAAAAACAACTAAGAAAATAAATTTTATTTTTAGAGACGGGTATATTACCGAATCGTAAGGATGAAACAAAATTGTAAGAAATACCATTCAAAATTTCTTTAATCTGTTTCTGCCGACGTTTTGACCCAAACATGTGGGTCATTATCAGGACTAAAAATTAAACAATATTAAATAAATAGAGAGGAATACTTTATTTTTAATGAAAGGGTGCTACTCAATCATATTGGGTTGAAGATACAGCATACTTATTTAATCGCAAAGTACAATTTTTGAGACTAATATTCAAGTATAGATTATCATTCCAATATAAAAGAGTATATTAAACATATATTTTTTTTTTTGTACTTTTTACATTATTTATTTTTTTTTTATATTCAAACTCCGTTTATTTCTTTTCTCTCTGTTTCCCCTTATACATTG